AAAGTATAATTTGGGTTGCTATTAAATTCAATCCTAAAAAAGACTGTTAACAGTATTTAAGTTTTAGCGTTACAATGTTAGAAAAAATGTATGAAATTTAAAAAAAACTGTCAATTTCTTTTGGTACACCTCCGATGGAAATTGTCTATAGTTAAATCTGAAGAATTTAAATTTCAAACAAACGAATCTTTGGTCATTGAACAAATTAAGTTGATTGATTGTACGTTGCTTAACGTCCGTCTCGAGAATTTTCCACTCATATGGAGATGCTATCTTTTGCCGGGTGAGAGCTACAAATTTTGTCCTATACTCGGTACTGAGGGTTATTGAACAGTGAGGGTTCTTTTTCATGCCAGTATCTACTGCGACACGTGACATCGGTTTATACGGTCTTATCTGAAGGTCCGGTCTTCAAGTCGCACAGTAGAAAAATTAAGTGGAAAGAAATGGTAATGATAGAAGGAGTTTTGATTTTTCTTCATTTACCAGTAATGCAATGAACAGTTAATGTGAATTTTGGTTCTAAAGAAGATGAATCAAGGAATTTACCTTAAAAATATTGAGCAGTGTTTAGTTTTAAAACTATGGAACTAGTGGCTGATTTTCCCAAATTTTAAAAATGCGTTGCCATTCAAAAGATTTGGCTTTAAGGTTTAAACAAATATTTTTGTCAAAATAAAAATTACTAACGGGGTAGTACATCAAGGTAAACTGTTGTCGTTGTTGTTCCTTCGTCGTTCGTAGCTCTTACACGATAATAAGTTTCATCAGTCAGATCCACGTGTATAATTGTTAGTGATGGTGAGAGAATTTCTCCACCAGTATAACGATTATCGGACAGTATATCGATAATTTCATAGACGTAAGTGCTGCTGTTTCTTCTTTCCCACGTCACGTTAGTAATAGGCAGAACAGATGTAATGTTTGTTTCAAGAGTGAGGTTTTCACCGGACAGAACACTGTATCTGGAATTGAGCGATATGGATGGTGAACCTGAAAGTATATTTATCAAGGGGTTTCAGTTTTTCATGCGTTAATTTTCATTTTCGGATTAGGACATCTTTCTACCTGGTTCTGGAACATTCTTTTGTCTTTTAATGTTCATTAAACATATTAAATGGAGTTACATTTGCTGTCATTGAAATTTCCAAAATAGAGGGAAAAATTGCTGATTTTTTCACTTTGTTTTAAAAAACTTTATTACTTACTTAACACGACATCAATGTAAACCTCTTTAGTCGTTGTGCCACCATTGTTTGTTACACTAACACGGTAATAAGTCTCATCTGTTGGAGCAATATCTGATATAGAAAGCGAGGGTAACATAATATCGCCCCCAGAGTATCGATGATCGGACGATATATCGATAATTTCGTACATATGTGTGCTGATATTCCTCCTCTCCCAGGTTATATTTGTGATTGCAAGAGATGAATTGACTTCTGTCTCTAGAGTAACATTTGCTCCCGTATAAACATAATACCTCGAGGATAGTAATATCGAAGGTGGAGCTAGAAATCAAACAACCACATATATATTTATATATAATTGAAATCTAAGCAACTGATATTGTACATTGAGTATTAATCAAGTGATTCAAATAGATACAAATGTTTTCTTGACCATTCTCAGATTTTTTTAATGTGAAAGAAAAAATTCTTACATTTTGTAACCCGTATATGAAAGTGGCTGCTGTAGCTCTCTCCTTCCAAATTTGAAATCTTACATCGATAGAAGGCGTAAACATACTCCAACGATATACTGGTAATAAAAAGTGACGGAGATTCGATGGTTCCCCCATAATATCCTTCATCGTTCAATACATCGATTGGTTCATAAAAGAACATTGGTGGGATACCTTTCTCCCATACGACTGAGGTGACGTTGAGAGCCGATGTGTAGTTGAGTGATAGAGTTACATTTGTTCCTTTCTCGATGTAAAAATTTGTTTGCCCAGTTGTTATTGAAGGAAGCCCTGAAAATGTAAAATAAAATGCTACTTTTGTTAATGTTGTTAATGACATACATGACATGCATAATTTGAAAAACAGATCTTACTAAAAGTATATTAAGAAAACATTCCATCTGATTATGATCGTTGCAGTGAATTGTTGACATGTTGAGGGTAACTAGAAAACCGTGTACGTGTGCAGTTGTTCTAGAGAAAAAGTCTCCTAAAAGATGAACGTTATCATCGCGTATGCATATTCAATTAATTGAATTTTTGGTGAGACGTGTTATTTGATTGGATAAAAAATTAATCTTAATTTTACAATCCGGTTTGCCTACGTCACAATGACTTACATAAAAAATGTATCAATTTGCTTGACGTTACGTTTAAAATATGAACAATTTAAAGGCATTTTTCAAGGAGAAATTGGCTTGTTATATATACTTAATGATTTACAATTGAATAATAAGGAGTGAATTAAATAGGAACCCAAGTTATACTGCTGTAACCTGGGTTGGAGCAGTTTACTCCTTTTTGTAATCTGCATTGCGGTTTCTAAAGCGTAAACTGCCCCATCTCAGGTTATAAAGTATAATTTGGGTTGCTATTAAATTCAATCCTAAAAAAGACTGTTAACAGTATTTAAGTTTTAGCGCTACAATGTTAGAAAAAATGTATAAATTAAAAAAAAACTGTCAATTTCTTTTGGTACATCTCCGATGGAAATTGTCTATAGTTAAATCTGAAGAATTTAAATTTCAAACAAACGAATCTTTGGTCATTGAACAAATTAAGTTGATTGATTGTATGTTGCTTAATGTCCCTCTCGAGAATTTTCCACTCATATGGAGATGCTATCTTTTGCCGGGTGAGAGCTACAAATTTTGTCCTATACTCGGTACTGAGGGTTATTGAACAGTGAGGGTTCTTTTTCATGCCAGTATCTACTGCGACACGTGACATCGGTTTATACGGTCTTATCTGAAGGTCCGGTCTTCAAGTCGCACAGTAGAAAAATTAAGTGGAAAGAAATGGTAATGATAGAAAGAGTTTTGATTTTTCTTCATTTACCAGTAATGCAATGAACAGTTAATGTGAATTTTGGCTCTAAAGAAGATGAATCAAGGAATTTACCTTAAAAATATTGAGCAGTGTTTAGTTTTAAAACTATGGAACTAGTGGCTGATTTTCCCAAGTTTTAAAAAAGCGTTGCCATTCAAAAGATTTGGCTTTAAGGTTTAAACAAATATTTTTGTCAAAATAAAAATTACTAACGGGGTAGTACATCAAGGTAAACTGTTGTCGTTGTTGTTCCTTCGTCGTTCGTAGCTCTTACACGATAATAAGTTTCATCAGTCAGATCCACGTGTATAATTGTTAGTGATGGTGAGAGAATTTCTCCACCAGTATAACGATTATCGGACAGTATATCGATAATTTCATAGACGTAAGTGCTGCTGTTTCTTCTTTCCCACGTCACGTTAGTAATAGGCAGAACAGATGTGATGTTTGTTTCAAGAGTGAGGTTTTCACCGGACAGAACACTGTATCTGGAATTGAGCGATATGGATGGTGAACCTGAAAGTATATTTATCAAGGGGTTTCAGTTTTTCATGCGTTAATTTTCATTTTCGGATTAGGACATCTTTCTACCTGGTTCTGGAACATTCTTTTGTCTTTTAATGTTCATTAAACATATTAAATGGAGTTACATTTGCTGTCATTGAAATTTTCAAAATAGAGGGAAAAATTGCAGATTTTTTCACTTTGTTTTAAAAAACTTTATTACTTACTTAACACGACATCAATGTAAACCTCTTTAGTCGTTGTGCCATCATTGTTTGTTACACTAACACGGTAATAAGTCTCATCTGTTGGAGCAATATCTGATATAGAAAGCGAGGGTAACATAATATCGCCCCCAGAGTATCGATGATCGGACGATATATCGATAATTTCGTACATATGTGTGCTGATATTCCTCCTTTCCCAGGTTATATTTGTGATTGCAAGAGATGAATTGACTTCTGTCTCTAGAGTAACATTTGCTCCCGTATAAACATAAAACCTCGAGGATAGTAATATCGAAGGTGGAGCTAGAAATCAAACAACCACATATATATTTACTAAGTATATATAATTGAAATCTAAGCAACTGATATTGTACATCGAGTATTAATCAAGCAGATCAAATACTAACAAATGTTTTCTTGACCATTCTCAGATTATTTCTTAATGTTAAAGAAAAAATTCTTACATTTCGTAACCCGTATATGAAAGTGGCTGCTGTAGCTCTCTCCTTCCAAATTTGAAATCTTACATCGATAGAAGGCGTAAACATACTCCAACGATATAGTGGTAATAAAAAGTGACGGAGAATCGATGGTTCCCCCATAATATCCTTCATCGTTTAATACATCGATTGGTTCATAAAAGAACATTGGTGGGATACCTTTCTCCCATACGACTGAGGTGACGTTGAGAGCCGATGTGTAGTTGAGTGATAAAGTTACATTTGTTCCTTTCTCGATGTAAAAATTTGTTTGCCCAGTTGTTATTGAAGGAAGCCCTGAAAATGTAAAAAAAAAACTGCAACTTTTGATAATGTTGTTAATGACATGCATGACATGCATAGTTTGAAAAACAGATCTTACTCTAATATATTCAGAAAACATTCCATCTGATTATGATTGTTGCAGTGAACTGTTGACATGTTGAGGATAACTAGAGAACCTCGTATATGTGCAGTTGGTTGAGGATAACTAGAGAACCTGGTATATGTGCAGTTGTTCTAGAGAAAAAATCTCCTAAAAGATGAGAACGTTATCCTAGCGTATACATATTCAATTAATTGAATTTTTGGTGAGACGCGTTATTTGATTGGATAAAAAATTAATCTTAATTTTATAATCCGGTTTGCCGACGTCACAATGACTTACATAAAGATGTATCAATTTGCTTGACGTTACGTTTAAAATATGAACAATTCGAAGGCGTTTTCCAGGGAGAAATTGGCTTGTTATAAAGACTTTATGATTGAAAATTCAATTATAAGGAATGAATTAAATGAGAACCCCAGTTATGCTGCTATAACCTGGGTAGGAGCAGTTTACCCCCTTTTTAAATCCGCTTTGCAGTTTCTAAAGCGTAAACTGCCCCATCCTAGGTTCTACAGTATAATTTGGGTTGCTATTAATTTCATTCCTGAAATAGACAGTTAATAGTACATGTATTTCAGTTTTAGCGCTACAATGTTATAAAATACGAGGGGCATTTTAAAAGTTCTGGCAACTGTTTAATAAAAGATTAACCGTTTTACGGAAATTATTGAGTTTGACATCATTGGAAAGATCAGAAAATATACACATATTGTGACGTCACTTTATAATTTTTATGACGTAATAACTCCGAAAATGACGTCAGAATTTAGAATGTTTAGCATACTGAAAAGTCGCGTTTTTATCCACATGAGACGATTATAAAAGTTCTGTCAAAGGCTTATTTGAAAAAATATTTCAAAGAAAATTTTAATTTGAAAAGAGGTAGAGTAGGACTATGATACTGTTTATCAGCAATTCCATTATTCATTGTATGGTTTGTGTACGAGCACGGTTTATGTCCGGTTATGCTATCATAGACATTCATTTAAGATTTCTATTTACATAATACGGCTGGCTTTTCGGTCTTTGATCTAGCTCTCCATTGTTAGAAATAAAACATGTTCTGTATTAAACTGAATTATATTAATGCAGTTTTCATCAAATATATTTTGAATAACAGGACTCTTACCGTTTACGAATAAAATGTACTAAATCTTGTCCCCGACTGGATTCTGTGCGTATTTTTTCATATAAATTCACCTTCGGCGCCCCAAAACTCACTACTGCTTTTGACTTTTAAATCCAAAAAATGAATATAAGTTACTTAGACATGTAAAGTCTTATTTATTTTCCATGCATTAAAATTTGCGAATATGTGGAGGTACGGTGGGGTTACAACTGCGCTGCCGCCATTTTTTGATTTTACGAGAAAATATTGGGCACACTTAACTGAACTTCTCTTGAGCCTTCATCGATCCCACAAATCTGGTTAAAACACCTGACGAATTAATGCCATTGAATTTTGTAACACGATCGCCTATTTTTCTTTGATTGTCAACTTTGTCTTTTTCTCACATTTAGGTCTCTTTTACGCAAAAGTTTGAGCGAGATTCGATAAAACCATGCTAATTTTGACACTCGCTAAAACCATTTCAGAACAAGAATATCTCCAAAATAATATACCATATGATAGATTGTAGTCTATGTACACATTCAACTAACTGGCATTTGCGTCCGTTAACTTGCGTCCGAGTAATGAGCAAAAGTTGTCTTGAAAATTTTAATTTGATCAAATTGTGTCTTTTGTTACGTCATTTTTATGGTCAGTATGCTAAACATTCTATATTCTGACGTCATTTTCGGAGTTATTACGTCATAAAAATTATAAAGTGACGTATCAATATGTGAATATTTTTCTGATCTTTCCAATGATATCAAACTCAATAGTTTCCGTAAAACGGTTAATCTTTTACTAAACAGTTGCCAGAACTTTTGAAATGCCCCTCGTATGAATGAAATTTTAAAAATAAAAAAGACATATGCATGTGACCTATGCAAGTGGAGTGTACTAACTCATTGTTAAATATACAAAAATGTTAGAAGTGTTAATCCAACTGTAAATTTCTTTTGGTACACCTGCGATGAAAATTGTCCATAGCCAAATCTGAAGAATTTAATTTTCAAACAAACGAATCTTTGGTCATTGAACAAATTAAGTTGGATTGAATGTATGTTGTTTAACGTCCCTCTCGAGAGATTTTCACTCATATGGAGATGCTATCACTTGCCGGTTTAGGGCTACAAATTTTGTCCTATGCTCGTCACTGGGTGCCATTGAAAAGTGAGGGTTCTTTTCCATGCCAGCGTCTACTGCAACACGGGAATTCGGTTAATAGGGTCTTATCTGAAGGTCCGGTCTTCAAGTTGCACGTACAGTAATATATTAGGTTGAAAGAAATGGTACTGGTAGAAGGAGTTTTGATTTTTATTCATTCACCAGTAATACAATGAAGAGTTAATGTGATTTTGGCTCTTAATAAGATTAATCAAGGAATTTACCTTAAAGATATTGAGCAGTGTTAAGTTTTAAATCTATTGAATAAGTGGTTGATTTTTTTCCAAATTTCAAAAAAGCGTTACCATTCAAAAGATTTGGCCTAAAGGTTTAAACAAACATGTTTGTCAAACTAAAAATTACTAACGGGGTAGTACATCAAGGTAAACTGTTGTCGTTGTTGTTCCTTCGTCGTTCGTAGCTCTTACACGATAATAAGTTTCATCAGTCAGATCCACGTGTATAATTGTTAGTGATGGTGAGAGAATTTCTCCACCAGTATAACGATTATCGGACAGTATATCGATAATTTCATAGGCGTAAGTGCTGCTGTTTCTTCTTTCCCACGTCACGTTAGTAATAGGCAGAACAGATGTGATGTTTGTTTCAAGAGTGAGGTTTTCACCAGACTGAACACTGTATCTGGAATTCAGCGATATGGATGGTAAACCTGAAAACAATCTTTCTTTTTCAATAGTTTATAGTTAAAATGTACGAGGGTTGTTAGAAAAGTTCGCGGACACACTGAATTACGGAAAATCTATTGTGTACTGTGAAGTATGACCTATGTCTGAATAAATTCCTACATTTTGTTTATTAGTATGTAAAAAATCAGGTCCATTTACTAAAATCTTGAAAATTTACAACGATTTTTACTATGATGTCATAGGATTCACGGAGCAATCCCTTGACGTAAGGCGACGTGACAACCAGATTTCAATCCGTTATGCTTTGTCGCAGTTCTATAAATCTTTCTTTTCTTCAGATTTTTCTTATCTTCTTTCTACTTTAAAATTGAACATCTTTATCAAGACATGTTACTTTCTACTATACGGATTGTATTGATTCGGATATTTTTGAGATCTTTAAAAACGTCTCTGCAGTAAATTGATCAGGTTTGAAAACTGCAAAACCATATAGGCACAACGTCCATGCGATAAGAGGGTATTGAAGTATCGATGGAGTTAATCATTCAAAATGTTAATCCTTCCATTTATATGAAGTCACAATTATTTGAAAACTTTTGTCCTTTGTGTGTGTAGGAAATTTCCGGCATCATCTTGAAAATTTTAATTTCTTTTTAGACATTTTACTGTCTACACACATAATTTTTACGTAGTGCAGTGCTCCATGACGCTCAATGACGATCCGATTTTTGGCTGTTTTTTTGCGTGTTGATCATTTATAAATGGCTATAAAACAGTCATACACTCTCCAGTTTAATTCAAAATTTCTCCAAGTGACTTTTCATGAATACTTTAGCGATAGATAAAATATCATAAATCTCTTTGCGCTACAATTGTGCAATTTTTAATTTTAATAAAGAGTCTTTGTAATGTAAACGTGCCAAAATGGAGCATGCTCCGTGAAGCAAGATTTATCAGAATAAAAAAAACGTTTATTTTTCAATGATCACCGGAGAGCACCAAATTTTTGTATATTTATTGGAAAATAGGTTAAGATTTTATCTGGAAAGTTTGACCGGTTTCGAAGAAATAGAGCGATCACAATAGAAGTTGTCCGCAAACTTTTCTAACACCCCTCGTATTTCTCTCATTGCACTAATACTATTTGTTTGGAATTTTGACATTCATTAGACGTTCAGATGACCAATATACTTTTTACTTCATAAATCATAAGAAAACTGAAATTTGAGTTATATTTGTTGTCGTTGGACGTTTTTGTAAACATTTTCGTAGCAGAATTCAGTTACTTACTTAAGAGGACATCAATGAAAACCTCTTTAGTTGTTGTGCCATCATCGTTTGTTACACTCACACGGTAATAAGTCTTATCTGTTGGAGCAATATTTGAAATAGAAAGAGATGGTAACATAATATCGCCCCCAGAGTATCGATGATCGGACGATATATCGATGATTTCGAAATTGAATGTGCTGATGTTCTTTCTTTCCCAGGTTATATTTGTGATTGTCATAAAGGAATGGACTTGCGTCTCCAGCGTAATATTTGCGCCCATATTGACATGATATTTTGAAGATAATGCTATGGATGGTGGAGCTAGAAATAAAGCAAATCAAAAACTCAAAAATTTCATATAAAAGTAACAATAGAATTATACGTAATTCTCTACTACATTTCATACATAAGGCTAGGTTTTTCATTTCTTCCTTCATTGAATAATTAGTTTTCAATCAATTGAAAAATCATTTTACAAATTTAAAAAAATAACTTACATAGTTTAACACGTATGTAGAAGAGGCTGCTGTCTTTCTCTCCTTCCATATTTGTAACCTTGCATCGATAAAGCGTGGAATCATCCTCCAACGATATATTCGTTATAACAAGCGACGGGGAGTCGATGGTTCCCCCGATATATCGTTCATCGTTTTCTATATCGATTGGTTTAGGAACAATTATCGATAAGTTCCATTTCTCCCATACTACTGAGGTGACGATGGAAGCTGATGTGTAGTTGAGTGAAAGAGTTACATTCGTTCCTCTCTCTTGGTTAAAGTGTAATTGCCCCGTTGATATTGTAGGAAGCCCTAAGAACCCAAACAATATAATTGTTAATGACAATTACAAACAACGATTTTGCCATATTGTTTTGTTTCTCAAAAACAAATATTACAAATCATTTGACACATTTTAATTACCTGAGAATAAGTTCATTATAATTTTTTTTTTTACGTATACTTAATATATATTGGAGGGTAGAATTGAATTGATGTTAACAAAAAACGGGCATTGGCAAAATTTAATTGTTATTGTTAGACATATTCTAGAAAGAGCTTGGTTCACTTTATACATTAAATGACCCTGTAGATATGCCAATTTATTGATTAGCAATTGATGTTCCATTTTAAATATTAAGATATATTTACATTTGCAAATGTTTTGCTTTACATAACACTATTTGAAAAAGGTGTTTTTACCTCTCCGTAAAACATGTTCGTCATGTGACCATAAATTGATTGTTTAGTCATAAGCGATCTACGTAATATGATAGTGATGTCATAAGCGATCGACGTTATCTACACATTTAATTAATACTGTTGATTTTTTTTTTAAAAACTTGAAGGATTTCAAACTTTACTTAAGTACCTTACTATTTGTAATAAATAAATAAAATAAACGTATTTCGTGACGTCAAAATGCATTGACCAGCCAGAAAATTACGTCATTTTTGATAAATATGAAATCAACCAAGATCTAAATGATATTTAATGCATTGTTAACTAGAATTAATTTTTAAGCAGTATGAGTTTTTCAGAAATTCACAGGGTCAAAAAAAGCAATCAATGAATCTTGTTCTTTCACTTTTTTCTTTTTTACCAACAATACTTTGAAGATTGTTGTTATATGAAGCTGTAAAGAATAACGAAACCCAATTTCACGAAAAAAAGTACCGGTATACAGAATAAATAAAATACATGTATACTCGACATTTTTTCCCTTTTCAAAATAGAAGAGCAAGAGCCACTTTGGGCCTTATTTGGCCCTGAGAATTTCTGAAAAATCAAAACCGATCATTTTAGGTTGCAAATGCAGTATTTATCACTTGGCTTGTTGGTGACCACATCTATTAATTGTGACGTAATTTCCCATCTAGTCAATGCATTATGACATCATAAAATGCGTCATTTTCCTCATATCCTGTAAATTCCTTTGAAAATAGCCTAAAGTTGAAGCATTTTTTCAATATTTCATATAGAGCACAACCTCTGATCCAAAATATGCAAATAAATAATGAAAGCTCTGTTTCTGAAGATCAAAAAACATGCTTTATTTTTGGATCGTGGGCTGTGCTCATATTTTGATTCTTTCCTGAAGGTAGCCAAATACGCATGTTTTCTTCAAATTTCAAGAACATTGCGATTTCTCAAACCTGTTTTCCAATATCTGGATTCTCAAAACAAAATTTTATTATAGAAAATGAAAGCACCAAGTGTCTACTTTATTTTGATATATGAAATGGGAAAGAGGGTGATACTTAATTAATTGATATAAATACAGGGCCATTTTATGCATAAGATGGCGCTTGCTCTTTATATTTGAAACGATGTTCTTGTTTCTTAAATGTTTTTTTTTTAATTCCTATTAACATGAAACAATTCCAATGTAAAATATTCCCTTGTCGTTCCTTCGACTATTTAACATTATTTCTCTTTAAGGGATAAAAACTTACATGGTTTAACACGTATATAGAAGCTGCCACTGCTTTTCTCTCCGTCCATATTTGTAACCTTGCATCGATAATGCGTGGAGTCATCCTCTATAGATATATTGATGATAACAAGTGACGGGGAGTCGATGGTCCCCCCGATATATCGTTCTTCGTTTTCTATATCGATAGGTTTAGGAACTACTACTGATGAGTTCCATTTCTCCCACACTATTGAGGTGACAATGGAAGCTGATGTGTAGTTGAGTGAAAGAGTTACATTTGTTCCTCTCTCTTGCTTAAAATACCACTGTCCAGTTGATATTGAAGGGAGCCCTTAAAAAGAATATTTTAAATGATAAAATATACATGTACGACAATCAAAATTTAATAAACAACTATTTCTGGAATATTATTGCAGTAAAATACCCCCAATTGAAATATGAATTGAAAGTAACAGATACGATTTTCAGGATATCAAGTAAACTTTACTTATAGTAGATGATTTGCACACAGAGGACGTCTGACAAAGGAAATGTATAATCACCATACAGACAAATAAATTACTAAATGACATTATGCAATAAATAAACTTTGAAAGTATCACGAAATTCTATTCTGTGGTATTAAAGATGGGTACTCTTCAAATGTTTTTTTATTATTAGAAAAAATGGCAGTGTCCTCTTTTTACTGTTGGAAACCTAAAATATGTGTCCGATCAAAAAGTAAAATAGGAAGTCACAATGGCAGTATGTTGCAAAGATTCTACGAAAGTCTCATAAAACTTTATTCATTAATATAAGAGGATTTGCTGATAAAAGAGACATACCCCAAGGCGGAACTGACGCACGGACGAACGTACATACGGACAGACATTCCGATCACTATATACCTTCCACTTTTTAAGCGGGGGTATTATTACTGACTAGTTACATAGTCTTTTAGTGACAGGGTACGGGATGATACCTGGTTTGTAAATTTCATGCCTGGCTTTTTGGCCAAAATCACATCAACTCTCAGATAATTTTTAGGTCACCTGAGTAAACTCGCTATCAGTTTTCGTCCGTCGTCGTCCATCCTACGTCGGTCGTAAACTTTTGAACATTTTCAGCTTCTTCTCTGAAACCACTGATTCAGAACCAATTTCAACCAAATTTGGTATACAGCATCTATGGGTTAAGGGGAACAAAAATTGTGATTTTCATGCTTCCTGCCCTCCTGGGGCCTGAGGGATTGAGCCAAAACCACTAAATATAATGGAATCTTTAAAAATCTTCTTCACTCCTGGACATCAAGCAGTCAAATTGTTTACATGATAGAAATCAGTATTGAGTCCTCTACCAAAATTGTGAAATTCATGGCCCTGGGGTCAGGGGTTCTAGTGTAGGGTGGGGCTAAATAGATTATATGGTGAAAATACATATTTTTTTTTATATTTCCATTTCCAATTATTTTCTTTATGATAAACACTACAAAAGTTAACCTTGTTAATTTGATGTTAATACCTGTGGAATGTATGTTTCTCTTTTGAATTACTACTGAAAGGTCAAATGCCAACCTGCATGTATATGAGTGGCGTATTTACACTGAAGAAAAAAAAGAGATCCTTTGTTTAATTGTTTACTAAGTAATTAGATATGAAATATCTTTTTACAAACAAAGTAAATAATGAATTATCTTCGGATCAAAAGCAATCCGCTAGCGCTGTCCACGATCAGCGAGGCCGAGAACTCCATTTCCGTAAACAGCCTATCTGGAGAACGTGGAGAAATCGGCACAGCCACACTCCATCGTCTGATACAAATATCGCCCCTCAGTCATTGCCACCCGACTTCGTTAGCAACTCAACTTCCTCTGCTATTTCAACATTCGTAAGCAACTCAACTTCTCTCTGCTCTTTTAGTATCCACACAAATCGGTTTCCTGACCAACTCCCGTTTCATCAACAGCAACATTGCATTCAACATGGCGGCTGAGAAGTGACCCAGGTCCCCATACGAAAATGTGTAGTTGACCGTCAACTAGTCAACTACATGTAGCAGTCAACTAGTCGTCAACTGATAATGCGAAAACAGTTGACCACTCGGGGTTGAATTCTTTTCTGAAAAGCGTTCAACTGATTTGCATAAAACGGCCATTTGACCATTAGTTGAATGCTAATACTTTGAAATTTCATGCAAAACAAGAGTTGACCACTAGTTGAACACTCCGACTTGTTAGAAAATTTCTCCCACGCTACATTTATGTTGGGTTCAAAATTACATTATCATAGATCGGGTTTGTTATACCATAATTACAACAACCAAGATTTGAATCAGTACATGTGTGTTTTCTGTAGAAGGTGGGAATTTTGATTTGAAACATTATTGTCTTCGTGATGATTCAGCGTGTGAAATATCTCATGTACTATTGTAAGTATAAAAAATTTAAAGATTCTAATAGTATTTTTTCATATGAGGAGCCTATATATGTGTTTATGCTTCCGACAACCTAAATCTAGGTCACGTATATAATTACTTAACAAGATTGCTTTGATCATATTTTAAAATTCTTTTGTAGTTTATTACTTAAATGTTGATTTTTGACCACAGTAACTAAACAATCATTAAATTTGTTTCGTGTTTTATGGGACTATTTCTGTATAGTAAAATTTGACGCCATGGGGCGGGGCAATGGAAAATAATATGGAAAGCTTCATACATTTCAAATCTACTAAATTAGACGGTATTTTGATGTACCATATAAGCAGAATTTTTAGCGATTGTTTAATTTTGGCATTATTAGCGAGGGTTTTAAGATCGCTTAAATTAAATATCGCTAAAAATATACTATGTTTAATTTGTAATAGCTTTTAAGTGAGCATTTAAAATCGCTAAAATTATTTATCGCTAAAAATAACTTACATGTACCATATTTTAAGGACATAACACTAAATTTGCGTCTCGCTAAAAGTTCCACTTATACGGTATTTACAGAATGTTATTTAAAATAAAAATTAAAATATAAGGAATCACTGTCTAGTTAGGAGACTAGGCCAGGGACATCAAACCAAATACATAGTTATGTTGAATAAGAGTGCGTATACCAAGATTTGTGAATTTCATGGCCCCAGGGTCGGGGTTCTTAGGTGCTAGGGCGGGCTAAATAGATTATATAGTGAAAATGCATTATTTCTTTGAAAATCTTCTTCTTGGCTCCTGGGTATTTAATAAACAAAACAAATGTACATACTGTAGATTGACAAAAAATAATGATGGTTTTAATTTCACTATGTTCGCGATTCGTCATTTTTCCGCAAAATTAAACCCACTGTAAATGCTCATTGGTTTTAAAAAATGTTTAAATGCGTATAAGAAATTAAAATGAAGTTCTTGCAGCGTGAAATTAAAACCATCGCGATTGGTACTTTTTAAGAAATCGTGAAATTTTACCACCGTGGAATCAAAATGACTTAGAGTATGTTGAATAAGAGTGCCTCTACCCAAATGTGAATTTGATGGCCCTGGGATCAGGGTTTCCGGTGTTAGGGCGGGGCTCTATTAATTATATAGTGAAAATGCATTGATTCTTTGAATACCTTCTCTGCTTCCTGGGTATTAAATAAACAAACCAAGTACAAAGTTATGATTATCAAGAACGTCTCTTTAAAAATTGTGAATTTCATGGCTCCTGGGTTGGGGATTCTGGTGTTAGGGTGGGGCTCTAAAATGATCATATAGTGAAAAAACATTAATTCTTTAAACATCTTCTTCTCTGCTCCTGAGTATTAAATAAATTAAATAAGTACATGGTTATGTTGAATAAGAGTGCCTCTTCCAAAATTATGAATTTCAAGGCCTCTGGATCAGGGGTTCTGGTGTTATGATGGGGCTCTATTGATTATATAGTGAAAATACATTAATTCTTTAAAAATCTTCTTCTCTGCTCCTGAGTATTAAACCAATTAACTATGTACATAGTTATGATGAGGAAGGGTGCCTCTTCCAGATTTGTGAATTTCAGGGCCCCAGACTCAGGGGTTTTATTAGGAAGCGGCTCTAATGATTATATAGTAAAAATGCATGAATTCTTAGAAAACCTTTTCCTTTGTTCCCGGGTATTAAGGCAATGTTCTAAGTACATACTAATGTTGATGAAAGTTCCTCTTCCAAAATGGTTAATTTCAAGGAACCTGGGTCAGGATACTTTGGGTGTTTATGTGTGTTAGATAGTCTAAAATAAATTAATGCTGTGAAATCTCCTTTTTGGTATTTACAACCATATTTGATGAAATAAAATTTATGATAAAATTTCCGGATTTTTTAAATATGTGCCCCCAGTGTCACTGTTTCCAGTTTGATGGGGTGCACAACTGGTTATAAAGTGGAAATGCATTTTCTCTTTGTTACTCTGATTTACCTCGGAGTATTAAGAAACCAAAGTAAGTAGCTTAGTGTATAGTTATGATAAGCAAAATTGCCTCTTTCATAATTTTGAATTTCATGGCCTTTGAGTTAAAACAAGAACCAATTCAATTGTTGGAAAGTTGTTACATGATACTCAGGTGACCTATAAGGCCATGGGTCTCTTGTTTATGATAAACCTTTCAAAGTCCAACATGTTTAAAAACAGTTAAATGTCTTAGAAACATGTTATAAAATCCTTTTGTTTCTATTTTTTATGTTTGTTGCGGATTATCCTCATGATCAATACCCAGGTTATCTGTTTATTGTATAAGAGCATTGTTTAGAATAGTGTAATTAATGAAAAACATAATATCCTTTCGACTTACATCGTTTGACACGTATATTGAAAAGGTTGCTGTCTTTCTCTCCTTCCATATTTGTAACCTTGCATCGATAATACGTGGAATCGTCCTCCAATGATATATTGGTAATAACAAGTGACGGGGAGTCGATGGTCCCCCCGAAATATCGTTCATCGTTTACTAGATTGATTGGTTTAGGAACTATTACTGATGAGTTCCATTTCTCCCATACTACTGAGGTGACGATGGAAGCTGATGTGTAGTTGATTGAAAGAGTTACATTCGTTCCCCTCTCGGGGTTAAAATGCAATTGCCCCGTTGATATTGAAGGAAGCCCTTCAAAAACAAAAAACAACAAATCATAGTTATTAATGGCAATCACGACTTGCCGAGTTTGCCATATTGTTTTTTTTCTGAAAAATATTGCAAACCCAACCCATTCGACACATACAGTGGCTGGAACGTTATTGTTGACAAACCAATCGTGTAGAATCGTTCGTGTATCGTGCGCGATCGTTCGTGTATCGTGCGAGAACGTGCGTGTAACAGACTCAATCGTTTGCGGTTTTAATCGTGCGTGAACGTGCGTTTAGAAACGTGTAAATTTCGTTTTGTAAGTTTTTTTCGGAATGTTATCTGTGAAACCAGTATTTCGTTTACATATTTTTTTAATCCAAATAAAAGGAATGAAGCGCAGTTTTCTTAATTGAATGCGGAACGAACTAACTATTGCTTGTAAACAAACAATATAGTAAGTCGTACAATGTTATGTTCTCGTCAAATAGCGTGACTGATTGTGATAAACCGTACTAAGATGTTTTACTATATTTTTTGAAGTTCATTCTTTTTTGCAGTTAATTGTGGTAAGATTTTTTTTTTATTTTCAAATAATCAAAAAGAAATATTCTTACGAATAAATAAATGTTTTTCAAAGCTTACATAAATGTTTAGTCGGCGAATGTACATGCACGTCACGCACATGGTTCTCGGAGTTTTGTTTAACAGTGTTTATCTCTGTAGCTTACTTTTAATTAAATTTTAAAGTAAACAATAATTTGCATTGTCGTTTAAGAGATTCATAAACATTTTGAAGTAAAGAAAACATATAGATATAACTTTTAAGTTAAGTCATTCCATGCTGCCATTTTTCTCAATCGTATCCCCCATTCTACATATTATGAAATCCAATTCAATCATATTTTACTGTCCACCTACTATTATCTTCTGATAGAACAAAAAAATCCGTTTTCTTATGTCGGAGAATTAACTAAATAATTATTGATTACCTAAAATAATAATAAAAAACCTTACATGTACAAAATGTATTTAGTACCAGAAATACCCATTTCCGTTTTTTTTTTCAAAGTCGATCATATAATATACATGTATTTATTTATAATTCTTTGAATCTATATTCAATATAAAGCCGTATTTCGTTTTGGAAATATCGATTCCTATATAATTTGAACTATTTTGCGTGAAGAAGCGTGCATTTGCGTTAGCAATCGTGTAAGATCGTGTAACGTGTAGAATCGTGAACGTGAAGGATCGTTCGTGTATCAGGTTTAATCGTGCGTTAATCGTAGGGGATCGTGCGTGCAACGTGATCGTTCGTGTAAGTTGTCAACAATAACGTTCCAGCCACTGTAACAATGAAAAGAAAACGAGTTCAAGATAACTATTCGTTTTTTTACATGTACTTTTAATATATATTTGAGAGTTTATTTGATTTCATCTTGACTAACAAACAATGAGTACTGGTAAAAAAAAAATAACTGATACCAATAATACTTATAGATTATTGTTATTGAGACTTTAAAAAAAAGAATGAAACCCCAATTTAACAAAATAATCAGAATACTAGTAAATAGAATACATGTACATATCAATTTTTTAAGGTCAGGTGACCTATTGCTATCCGTTTTCGTCCGTCGTCGTCCGTTGTGCGTCATGTGTTAACATTTGAACATTTTCAGCTTCTTCTCTGAAACCACTGAACCAATTTCAACTAATTTTAGCATATGGCATCTATGGGTAAAAGGGAATAAACGTTGTGAATTTTAAGGTCCCTGCCCCCCCCCCTCCCCCGGGCCTGAAGGGAGGAGCAAAAACCACTAAAATTAGTGCAATCTTTAGAAATCTTCTTTACTCCTGGACATCTAGCAGTCAAACTGTTGGTATGATTGTAATCAGCATTGAATCCTCTACCAAAATTGTGAATGGCCCAAGGGTCAGGGGTTCTAGGTCTAGGACGGGGCTAAATAGTTTATAAAGTGAAAATGCATTATTTCTTTGAAATTCTTCTCTGCTCCTGGGCATAAAATAAACTAATCAAGTGCGTAGTTGAGTTGAAAATGACAAAAAATTGTGAATCTCATGGCCCCTGGGTTGTGGGTTTTGGTGTTAGGGCGGGGCTCTATTGATTATATGGTGGAAATGCATAAATTCTTAAAAATCTTGTTTTCTGAACCTGGGTATTAAACCAATGAAATATGTACATAGTTATGGGGAGAATCGTCGCCTCTTTGAAATTTTTAAATTTCAGTGCCCCTGGGTCAGGGCGTCTTGTGTTAAGGGTAGGGGATCTAATTTTTATATAGTGAAAATGCATGAATTCTTTGAAAATCTTTTCCTTTGCTCCTGGGTATTATGCCAATTATCTTAGTCCATCTTTATGACGAAGAAAACTGCTTCTTCCAAAACGGTTAATTTTCGGCCCCTGGGACAGAGGTACTTGGGGGGTACATTGTCTGAAAGTAATTTAATGCTTTGAAATCTGCACTTTGGTATTAATCAACAGAATGATGAAATAAAAATTATATAATTTCCAAAATTTTGAAATATGTGGCTCCAGGGTCAGTGGTTTCTGTAGGATGGGGGGCACAACTGATAAAGTGGAAATGCATTTTCTCTTTGTTACTCTGATCTACCTCTGGGTATTAAGTAACCGAAGTAAGCATGCTAATTATATAGTTTTGATAAGCAATGGTGCCTCTTTCAAAATTGTGAATTTCATGGCCTTTGGTTTAAAATACGAATCAAATTCCATTGTTGTAAAGTTGTTACATGATACTCAGGTGACCTATAAGGCCCATGGGCCTCTTGTTCCTTTTCAAGATAGAATATAATATATTTTTAACTGTTTTTTGCTTCTTGAGTATTATTTTTCGTTCATTTAAAAGAGTCCTAACATGGAATAACTTCAATATAAATTATCTCTAAGGCTTGCTGTTCCTTCGACTTTTTAAAATTAGTTTTCTTTAAGTGATAAAAAAACTTACATGGTTTAACACGTATATAGAAGCTGCGGCTGCTTTCTCCTTCCATATTTGTTAACTTGCATCGATAATGTGTGGAATCGTCTTCTATAGATATATTGATGATAGCAAGTGACGGGGAGTTGATGGTCCCCCCGATATATCGTTCATCGTTTTCTATATCGATTGGTTGAACTATTACTGATGAGTTCCATTTCTCCCATACTACTGAGGTGACGATGGAAGCGGATGTGTAGTTGATTGAAAGAGTTAAATTCGTTCCCCTCTCTGGGTTAAAATACCACTGCCCAGCTGATATTATAGGAAGCCCTTAAAAGAAGAACTATTGTTAATGACATATGCAGACCAGGTTTTCCAACAATCTATTGGAATTCTCATGGGTACCAATTGCGCTTTGTTATTAGCGGACCTATTTTTACATTCATATGAAGCAGAATTTGTGCAAAACCTTATGTGTGAAAAGAAGAAAACACTTGCTGTGGCTTTCAACTCGACATTTAGATATATCGACGATGTTTTGTCAATTAACAATGGTAATTTCCATTCCTACGTCAATACGATATATCCTGGTGAGCTTGAAATAAAAGATACCACAGAGTCTGACACATCTCTTTCATACTTTGATATTTTACTTGAAAAAGACGTTAATGGTAATCTAACAACCAAGCTATATGGTAAACGTGATGACTTTAACTTTTCTATCGTTAAATTTCATTACTTATGCAGCAATATACCTTCATCACCTGCATACGGAGTATATGTATCTCAGTTGATTCGATACGCAAGAGCATGCTCTACGTATGAACAATTTCTAAAACGAGGTAAATTACTGACAAGCAAGTTGATGAAACAAGAATATCAGCAGTCTCGTTTAAAGTCATCTGTCACCAAATACAATTTAACATTGAGTCAAATGCTGACCGACGTGAAACGATATAAGTGACTGAATTGACGACGGATTTTCTGATCATGACAAGGAGCACACGGCGGGTGTGACCGGTCAGCAGAGGATGCTCACTCCTCCATGTCACCTGATCCCACCTCTGATGTTTCGGAGGTCCGTGTTTGTTCTGCTCCTATTTTATATTGTTTTATGACTTTGAGATTGAATATTATTCGTTATCTATATCCTTCTTCATTTGACATACTAAATGACATACAGCTATTTTCTGGAACATTATTGCATATAAAACATACCCATTTGACACAAATGCAATTAACCGACGAGAAGAATTTTGTTAATGGCATAAACGACATTCCAAATTTGACTTTTGGAAAAATATTAAAAATAAAACACACCCTTTTTAACATACAATAAACCGAAAACAAGTTCATAATAACTACAAAACGGATGTAGTTGGTGACAGGTTTGTTTACAGGTGTTCCGAGATGACTTTCTATTCAAACAGATGCATTACGAACAGATATACGAATGAACAATCGACAAACTCTCTATCGGTCTTTTATTTTGCTAAAACTCAGTAGTGAGGTTAACGTAGTTACCAAGAAATTACTAGGTGAGGTAAAATTGTCAGGTATGTGGTGGATATTCATGGTGTATCCTACTCTATAATTAGATCATTGGAAAAACCTTTTGAAGAGAAAGGTTCAATAGAAAACATTCCGCAAATTGGTCGACAGCCTAATGACCACTAACAGGTAGTAACTATAGAAACTGAGAAAGGTTGGTTAAAATCAACAGGAAAGATAGTCTAGCAGAAATAAACAGCAAATTAAATGCAAACAGGAACGTTCTAGTATCTGTACGTACCTTACAGCTGCATTTACAAACAACGGGTTTTCAATACGTGTTACGAAAAAAGAAATCTAAGATAAGGGAGGTAGATCGAAGGAAAAGATTCTCATGGTGACGGGAAGAACTAAAGTTCTACAGTTGTAGGATTTGGAAGAAAGTTGTTTTCTCGGACGAATCTTAAATTATCATTGGACGTGATTCATGGTGTATGCTTGGCACAAGAGGGGTGAAAGATGAAGGCCTCGTTTTGTGACTTAGGGCTTTGAGAATTTGATCTAAGGGTGTATAATTTATTGGAATGACTTTGGTACCATCACGGTAGTTAATGGTAATAGTAACGCTGAATTTATGCACAGAAATAGAATAACCGGAATGAGCTGGCCTGCTCAAAGTCAAGATATCAATATCATACAAATTTAAATTTGTGGAAATCAAAGGACCCTGACTTCAACATGCAGCTTCGTATGCTGCGTATATCTATTACTTGACATTTTTAGATGATGACTTAAATAATAAAGACATTAGTGAATAATGATAAAATTTAATTTTTAATGCTTTTGATATATGTTCGAAATTTGACGAGTAACTGGGGACCACAGATAAGCCTTATTGAGACTTGTCCTTTGTTTCGACTAATTATATGGACTAAAAGAATTTTTTTGAATGTACTTACATTTGAGAGTTGATGTGATTTTGGCCAAATAAAATGTATACGAGAATTGTGTCGTGTTTTTTCTCTATACAGTTTCAAATAGTATAGTGCATGGTTGTTGTGATTGAGATTTCATAGCAGAATGAAACCCAAATTTACCGTTAAAAATTATACGGAATCGATGAATTATTTGTACTCGTTATATTTTATCAAGCGAAAACTTGAATTGTTTATTTAGTATTTCAGTTTTTATTTCTTTATTTTTTGTGCTCTGTTGAACCCTTTTTATTCACTATGTGAATCAACATCAATGTGAACTGTTTTTTATGTTGATACATCGTCGTTCATAGCTCGTACACGATAATAAGGCTAGGTTTGTCATTTCATGGTTTTTCGTTCATCGCTTAAGATATCGATTGCTTGAAAAAGATATAATGAGTTATATGCTTTCCATACTACTGAGATGATCCTGAGAACTGATATGTAGTTGATTGAAATTGTTACACTGTTTTCGTTTTTACTCCATTTTACAGAGAATATGACTACATTGTACAGTCATTATGTAGTGTATTTTTGTAACTTACTAAATTTTGACCAGCTCCGCGACCCGATTTTTGTATTTTTTAAATCTGGATAAGTTTTAAATAAATCGTGATATTTAAAGAAAATTAATACAAATCTTTGAATTCATTGTTAAAATATTTCTACCAACTTTGGATAACATATGACGTCAAATTAAAAAGATAGCCGAAGTCCGCGAACTTTTCGAACAACCCTCTTACATTGGTTTCTTTCTCAGCGTTTAAGCACGATTACCCGCTTGATATTGAAGGAAGCTCTTAAAAAGACAAGAACCAATCTTTTGATTATGACATATACATGTACACATGTATCATATTCTTAACTTGAAACATTTTCACAGATTTGAAATATATAGGGAAAGATATCACAGTGCAGTAATGGACATGTTCGAGTAGCCCATGGTTTGTACAAACACTGTAGCTGTTCTACAGGAGATGTCATATAAAAAAGAAAAAGTCATTCAACTGTATTTATATACAAATGGACAGTCGACAAATATTTCTTTCATTTTGCTGAAGTAGAATGTTCCTGAATAGAGATCCTTTCTGTACAATTAAAGAAATACACAGAGGTAGATATACTACCTTGATGTTTAAATAAAAGTTCAAAATATGTAAACCGTAAATTTCTTTTAAGAACCTTAACAAATACTAAACCGTCAATTTATGATGTCCAATGTCTGTAACCAATAAATCTGTGGTTACAAAATCCGGTATTCTTAATTGCTCACCAAGATTTCTTTGTTATTTTTCAAAATCAGTTTGTACTTATCATATGCATGGAAGGAATTTCACATCCTCTACATGCATGCTTATCATGTGTAGTGAACATTGGTGTGATTTTAAAAACAAACAAAAATGATTTGAGGTCAAAAAAGTGTCCATTGGTCAAAGTTAATTGTCAATTGTTGTACATATAGTCATTTTCAAACCATTTATATTTTTAGGTCACCTGAGTAACTCAGGTGACCTGTTGCTATCCGTTTTCGTCCGTCGACGTCCGTCGTCCGTCGTGTGTTAACATTTGAAATTTACAGCTTCTTCTCTGAAACCACTGAACCAATTTCAACCAAAATTTGATTGTATACAGCATCTATGGGTGAAGGGGAACAAAAATTGTAGAACTTTAGTTCTTCCCGCCCCCTGAGTCCTGAGGGGTGAGGCCAAAACCACCAAAATTAATGCAATCTTAAAAAATCTTCTTCTTCACTCCTGGACATCAAGCAGGCAAACTGTTGGCATAAATGTAATGAGCATTGAGTCTTCTAACAAAATTTTGAAATTCTGGGGTCATGAGTTCTTGTGCTAAGGCGGGCCTATATAGATTATTTAGTGAAAATGCATTATTTCTTTGAAAATCATTTTCTCAGCTCTTGGGTATTAAGTAAACTAACTATGTACATAGTTATGTTGAGCAAGAGTGCCTCTTCCAAAATTGTGAATTTTATGGCCCCATGGTCAGGGGTTCTGGTGTTAGGACGGGGCTCTATTGACTATATGGTGGAAATGCATAAATTCTTTAAAATCTTGTTTTCTGAACCTAGGTATTAAACCAATAAAATATGTACATAGTTATGATGAGAAAGAGTGCTTCTTTCAAAATTGTGAATTTTATGGCCCCAGGGTCAGGGGTTCTGGTGTTAGGGCGGGGCTCTATTGATCATATATTGAAAATGCATTTATTCTTTGAAAATCTTCTTCTCTGCTTCTGGGTATTAAATGAACTAACTAAGTACATAGTTATGTTGAGGAAGAGTGCCACTTCCAAAATTGTGAATTGTATGGCTTGTTACAAAGCACTTTGAAAAATTACGCACTTTGGAAAAAATTTTCAAACTGCATTAAATTTGGGACCAAGGTAACGCACTTTGAAAAAAATAATTTTTTTTCAAAGTGCGTTAATATCGACAATATTAACGCACTTTGAAAAAAAATGTAAAGTTTCATCAATGTTCTCACAAATAATTGGTATGATAAATAATTTATCATGGTTGGATAACTTTTTTTTTTATGATGAGGTCACTTCAGGACATGAGATATTGAATATTTAAATATCTTAGCTTTTGTTAAAAGTTATAAAAGAAAATGCGTCATTTAGAAAAAATAGAGAGATAATTGTTTAATATCATTACTTTGTTTCTGTTTAAAAATTCTAGTCTGTAATAGGTAGATGTAAAGGGGTGGGGGGGGGGGGGGGGCTAAAAGTGAACGACTTAAAGCATTGGATTTATGTTAAGAAAAGGGGGCAATTTGATTTTTCAAA